ATCGAATTAGACTAGCATTTCTCCAAAAATGAACAAACCCGAAGTTATCATGAAATCGAAAGCCACTTTTCAATGGCTCGATTCCAATCTAATTAGATCGGCAATTCGTCGAAAACAATCAAACTAGAAGTTATCATGAAATCAAAAACCATTTTTCATTTGCTCGGTTCCAATCGAATTAGACTAGCAATTTTCAAAAACGATAAACTCCGAAGTTATCATGAAATCAAAAACTACTTTTCGTTGTCTCGATTTCAATTGAATTAGACTAGAATTTTTTCCAAAAAAAAAAAAAAAAAAAAATTTATTAAAAAAAAAAAAAAAAAAAAAAAAAAAAAAAAAAAAAAAAAAAAAAAAAAACCCCGGAGTTGCTCGATGCATCATGATATTGAGTACCAATCACACAGTGATACAAATATACTATTAACGTGGAGATGACAGTACAAAATTTACAAAAGCGCCATGTTAAGTATGTACAGTTAATTATTAACGTGAATACACTAACACACAATTCATGCATATACACCAGATAATAACGATTAAAAAATATGCAGCCAAAGTAAGCAGACTGCTTATTAAAAATGAACTAATATCATGTTGTATTACCATGATATGGTTACAATCCCCATGTTAATAACTTTTACAAAACATATATAATAAATTTGTGTGCTTAAGCCTATGTTTGGCTCATGTTTGTAATTTTTTATAAACACTTGAGCCACTATTTATCCACACATTTTGAGGGACCCACAAGTATCACCCAATTATCCACCACTCATTTCAAACCATTTATAATTTAAATCATTTATAAATAAATCATATTAAGGCATTACAGATCATAGCTCTCATTTAACATTTTTTATAATGGCGATAGACCACAGCATTGGTCCAAGGGAGACTCTGTAAGGCCTTGGTAGCAAAATCCAGTAAAATAAATAAGAATACTTTAACATCATTTATGCTACAATGATTTCTTTTGGGGTATGGAGTCGCAATGGGGCACCCATTGTCTAATTGATTATGCTTTACCAACATCACCATGCTACCGACCGGTTTTACACTAATATTTAACATGAGCTTCCCTCAACATCAGAATGCAGTGGTATGCTCTAAATTATATAATTCACTATCACACAAACAAGAGAATAAATGCAAGAAATAAGTAATATCTCATATCCAAGCAATACAGCATGAGAGGCATCTCCCAAATGCACGAACAAACAGGAGAATACAAAAACAGAAGGTAAAAATCAATTCCTTGTATTATGGACTATAGAGTCGTATTTCTTATCAAACCCCACAAACTGATAGCAACACAAACACAAGAACAAACCATGTATTTTATAATTGAACTTAAAAATTGCCAATTCTATCTTACGATACTCACATCACACAATCACCAAAAGTGCGAGAATCCAGACTCCAAATTCTACCAAAAACCGAGAAGTGACTTGAAAATTAAAGCAAACAATTTGTAGAAACAATGTTCTAATCAGACAGCTTCCATATCAGTGTTCATAATTCATCATATACTGGCACTTATATTAATTCTTTATTTAGGCAAGATAACATGAAGACAATGTGGGATTGCACGACATGAACCCAGCACCTGATATAATGTGTTCTCGATTTTTTTATGAGTTTTAGCAACCATATCGCTGGTACTTTACTGAAAGACAACAGAAAAGACGAGCAAATATCGTTGTAAAATAAAACAAAAACATAATTATATTTTAATAGATAATTGTAAAATTAACAGCATCACATTTCAAGTTTCTGCAGATAATCTAATAGCAAAACTCAATGCTATAAAAATCATCAGTTCAAACTGCAAAAGCTCGATTCAAAATACGCGACAAATAAACCCAAAAATTCTTAAAATATTTGTAACTTCAGAAATTTGATGTCGATACCTACAGATTTTAGACTAGGGTTTAAAGTCCACAAATAAAACAGAAAAATAGCAGAAACCTGTCCTTCACGATATAAAGAAACCCTCGGCTTCCATGAACAGAATCAACTAACCAAAATTATTCACATATGACATGCAATCAAATTTGTGAAGGAAAAAAATTACTCCTGATTTTGATATCAAAATTCACAAGTGCAAAATTAATTAAACAATCAAATTTGATTAATTAACTCACGAACGTCAATGTATCACCAAACTTATCCACAAGAATTCGACGAGGCTCCAAACAGGCAACGTGAACGAATGAAAGGGACAGGTTTAAGTTTGGTTCTCTCTTTCTATCAAGACTAAAATTACAAGAGAACTCCCTCGTATTTTTAGAATATTATAGGAACCACGTCCAATTTGCTATATTATCGTATAATCGATCTGATAATCCGATCCAAATTTGAAAAAAAACATTTTTTCAACCATTTTTTTGGGTAATATGATTTTTTTTTCCAAAAAACTATTTTCACTATCTTGAATGCGCTCACCTATTATATTAGAAGGTCTAAATCAATTTTTTATCCAAATGATGCTCCTTTAGTTTCTTTTTAAAGGAGACTATTCTTGGAATGTTTTAGTAATCTTTCAATGTGAGATATTAACTTATTAAATGATACTCATTTTCAATATTTTAGTAATATTTCAAAGTGGGATGTTAGTTAATTGTCAATTCTAATTGTTACTAGTTTATTTTATTATTTTCATTAAAAATCATAGCCTCAACAAGATTATAATCACAAATAATATCAATTTAAACAATATAAATTATTTTTGGACATATTAATTATTAGTTTTTGATGTTATAAAACAAATTACAATAGTTATTTTTATCTTATTTTAATTAATAAAAAAATTAAATATTTTCGAATATTTCAATTAACAATATTATACTATTATCTAATATTATTTATTATTTGAAAATTATGTGTAAAGCATAATATAAGTTTCAAAATGGGAAAAATTATGTTTAGTAGATTATGATATAACATATAAAATATATTATATTATTATAATAAATCGGATCGGATCGACCTATATCCATATTTGCTCCATTTAGTTAACGAATTATCGGATTCGGATCTTAATTGGATTATCGGACTGAAACCTTAAGAACAACATAGTGGGGACCTAAATAAACAAGATCTGTTAAGTAGAAAAGGTGCTTGTAGGTCGAGAAGTTGAAAGATTTGTGCATGAAGCAAATGGAAGAAATAAAGTTTCTATAAAGTGCCAAACTCTCCCCAGATTTGATGAATTCCAGCTTCAGAGAAATTATATTGAGCTATAGGCTTCTATTCTTCATAACATAATACCAATCAACTGCTTTTTGTATACAAAGCTCTAAGAATTCTGCATGTTGGTGCTAAACTGTGTTTTTTGGGACTGAGGCACATTTTCATGACAAAT